GTAATGTAACCATTACAATATTTACTGGTCCCTACAGCTGATTTTTTTTTTTTTTTTGAGAGTTTTTTTGCTATAGGGCATGTGCACTCACCAGAAAGACAAAGACAGAAAGTGAGAAATCCCCCCTCGGGGGGAGGGGTGGCCACACCACAATCCCTTCTCCTCCATTCTCCTCTCAGGATCTTGGACATGCACGCACACACGCCTGGCATGAGTTTAAGCCACTGGGTTCAGAACTTGAACCGGGGTTGACTACATGGGAGTCCAGCGACATAGCTGTTATGCCAACTGCTGGTCCCCCTACTGCTGATTTTTAAACACCAGTCCAGGATGAGGTTCTCACCACTCCTAGCAAATCAGAAAATAAGGACCACGTAGTGTGTTGTTCATGAAGCTGTATTATAAAGAATATATTCTGTAGGACCAACAGATGGAGTAATGGTTTACATCGCTGGACTCCCATGTAGTCGACTGCAGTTCTAGTCCTGGACCCTGCAGCTTGAAACTCACACCGGCCGCATGTACATTCATGACAAAAATCCCAAGGAAAGAATGGAGAAGGGGTTATAGCATGGCCATCCCCCTGGGGGTGATTTCTTGCTTTCTGTCTCTCTGGTGAGCGCACACGCCCTATAGCAAAACAAATCTGAAAAAAAAAAAAAAAAGAATATATTCTGGGTCAGCCAGTGGCAAGGTGATTAAGGTTCCTGGATCCCGCATGGCCATTTACATAGTTTGAATCCCAGACCCAGTGGCTTGCAAAACGTGTCAGGTATATGTCCAAAATCCTGAAAGGAGAAATTGGGAAGAAGGGATTGCAGCCTGACCATTCTACCCTGGGAAGTGCTTTCTCATTTTCTCTCTCTCTCTCTCTCCGATGAGTGCACATGTCCCCCAGTAAATTATGAAAAAAATGTATTCTGAAATGAGTTCCTTCCCAATTGTTTTAATTTTTCAAAGGATTATTTTATTGAACTTTATTTAATTTATTTATTTCAATTTGACCAGAGAGGGACAGAATGTGTGTGTGTGTGGGGGGGGGGGTGGAGTGAGAAAGCAAGTTGCCAGGTCTGGGACTCGACCAGCGCTCCTAACCACCACACTCCTGCTGGCTTCTCCCCACCCCAATTGTTTTTAAATGATCTTTTAGGGGCCTGCAGGTGGCATGGTGGATAAGGGCATTGGACTCCCACATGGCTGACCACAGTTCGAGTCCCAGACCTGGCGGCTTTCTTACTTTTCCTCTCTCGTCAAATTAAAATAAATAAATAAAATAAAATAAAGTTAAATAAAATAATTCTTTTAAAAAAAGTTCTTTGTCCCAGCTGTGGTTGAATGTGCTAGATTCTGTCGCATGGCTGTCTGAGACCACATGGGAGGCCCGCTTTGATTCCTGGCCTACCCTAAAAGCTGGGCATGCCGTCACCTGTAGTCCCAGCTACTTGGGAGCCTGAGGCAGGAGGGTCCATTCAGTGAAAGTGTTACTTTTTTAAAAAGTTTTTTAAAAGCCTCTGTTAAAAAATATTTCTAGAGCCTGAACTCAGCACTTAAGAGTCCACTGTGGTGCATGATTTTGCCTGGACTCATGGCCTGGGTAGCCCGGCCACGCCTCCTCACCTCTCCTGCACCCTCTCCCCCAGTTTGGGATGAACGCGCTCCTCCTGTCTGCCTGGTTTGGCCACTTGCGGATCCTCCAGATCCTGGTTAACGCAGGGGCCAAGGTCCACTGTGAGAACAAGGTAAGGCCCCACTGGTAGCCCCTGACACTCTGCTGTCCTGTCCCCTCCACTCCCTCTTCCCCTAGATGCACAGATCTGCCCCCACCTCTGCATCCCCTGCCCTCGCTGTCCCCTCCCTGGCCCTGCCTGTCTGACTTGCCCCTGCCCTCTAGAGGCTGAGCTAGACCCTGCAACGTGGGGACCTCCAGCTGCTTCTCCTGGGGCTTGGGAGTGGGGCTGGGGTGCTTCCAGCTCTTTCATCAAAAATGAACAGGGAGTGATTTCTCACTTCCCTCTCATTGTCTCTGTCTCCCCTGAGAGAGCAGGTGCCCTTTGGCAGAAACAAACAAAAAACACACACACAAAAAAAAAACCCTCCAAAAAAAAAAAAAAGAATGAAAGCACCTAGCCCTGTGGCCTGCTAGAGGAATCAGAGTAACACCCTCAGGGGTAGCCAGGAAGGGTAAGTGAGAGGGAGGCGGGGCCTTCTCTGCCCTCTTGCCTCCCTTGGGGTCAGCGCAGAGCACCTTGTTTTGCAGCCCTGGGACCCTGGGCGCCTGCCTTTACCACCTGGGCTTTGGTTGCCCTTTTGGAAATGGGGATGCCCTTTTGTAGATAGTGCCTACCTTGGATCTGGGGGAGACGCTCAGACACTGGCACATGAGGGACCCTGGCACCCCTCGCCGCTCGCTGGTGTGTGCTGTGGTGTAAGGGAGGTGCACCCTCCAAGGGGGCACACCTCTTAGGGTGTCTGTGGCCCTCAGGAAAATGCAAACATTTCTGGGCCAGACGGCTTCAGCCATTCTCAGTCTGGATCCTGGGAGCGAATTCAGTGAATCTATGAACTTGGATTGGACAAAAGTTGCTATTGGTTGTCACTAACTTCCACTTAAAATTTTAGCATTTTTTTCGATGACGAACATAGGGAGTATTAGGACTGTTACAGGAAGAGGGCATCCAGACCCAGCCACATTTATCGGAGCTTTATTGATTAAGCCAGTGGCGTATGGGGGACTCATGTCTCTCAGAACCCCGAGGCAAGGGGAGGGGTGCTTATAAAGGCAAAAATCACTTTTCCAGATGTGGCAATCACAAGAACAGAGAGCAGGGAGCTTGGAAGGGCAGGGGGTAGGTTTTCACAATGTAAAAGCAAAAGCCAGTTATAGAAGCAAAACAAACAGGTTAGTCATTTCTAAGGTCATGCGCCATTCCTACCTAAACACGGAGGAATCTTCATGGTCTTCATGGCTCAGGGCAAGGGGTCTGGTGATGATTCCGTCCCTCAGGAGCATCTTAGGGTAGGGAGTCTCGGGTTACTTAGCAAAGAGAGCCGGAATGTCAGTCACTTTGTTTACTCTAGGCAAAAGGAGAAAGCAAGTTTCCAACGTAGAGAGGAGTTCAAAATGGAGGTGGCCCTGCTTCACTGCTTCAGTACCTGCGACTTTGTCACTAACGGAAAGTGTAGCTGTTTTCAGATCATATTGAAGTTTTTGGAGTTATCACAAAATACTCCTTACACTCATTATTACTTTGAAATGATGGTGGCTATTAGATCCTTTTTTTTTTTTTTTGCTATAGGGCACAAGAGAAAAACAGAGAGATGGAATGTGAGAAACCACCCCCCTGGGGGGGATGGCCACAACGCAATCCCTTCTCTTCCATTCCCCTCTTGGGATTTTGGGCATGTATCCACATGCGGCCAGCTTGAGTTTTAAGCCACTGGGTCCGGGACTTGAACCATGGTCGACTACGTGGGACTCCACTGATCCCATGATCTTATTTATTACTTTTTTAAAGAAAGATTTCTCTGTGCTTGCCAGAGAACCAGAGAGAGACATAGAGTCAGAAATTACCCCTGGGGTGGGGGGGTGCCATGCTGCAATCCCTACTCCTCCATTCTCTTCTCAGGATTCTGGGCACACATGCGCACACACCCAGAGTGAGTTTCACGTCGTTGGGTTTGGGACTTGAACCATGGTGGGCCATGTGTGAGTCCAGCACTTTAACCACTATGCCACCTGCTGGCCCCAGTTCTTGTTTAATGGATCAATAAAGAAACACATGTTATGACTAAAAACTAAGATTTGAGTATTTTGATAACTTTTAATGTAATTGGTTTTCTTTTATGGTAGGCAGAATAATGGCTACCATAAAATGATGGCTACCCTTATTCTACCATAATTAGGATGTCCATATCCGAATTCCGGGAACCTGTGAACCCTACAACCTAACATGGCCAAAGGGGAGACGCTCAGACACTGGCACATGAGGGACCCTTTTAGCTTAGTGTCACTAAGCTGAAGACCTTGGGGTGGGGAAGTGGGAGAGGGTTCTGGGTTATCTACCTGGGCTCAGTGGAATTGCAGGGGTCCTTATAGGGCGACAAGTCAGAGAGAGCTGATGAAGGAGACAGAGGGTGGAGTGGTGTGGCCATGAGCCAAGGATTCAGGCAGCCTCTGTGAGCTGGAGAAGACCAGGAATGGGTTTTCCCGGAGAGCCCGCAGAAGAGGCCAATCCTCCCTGCCTGTCCCCCAACCTCCTGCCAACCCATTTTAGACTTCCAGTCCCCAGAACCGTAAGAGAATACATTTGCGCAGTTTATGCCACTAAGCCGATGGGAATTTGTATTTGTTATAGCAGCAATAGGAAACTAATACACCTTTGTTAGCCTGTGTCTTTGATTAAGATTTTTTTCTTAAATAGTTTATCTTATGCATGTAAGGAAACATTAGTCACAGGTCCATGGGCTTCTCTAGATGCCAAGAAGGGCCATGGCATGTTGATCTGTCTTACACCATCGCTGGGCTCTCGTTGACAGTGGTGGGAATGTCCGACAGCTCCTGTGTCACGGCCATGGGATCTGAACTGCAGTGTGGGTGTGAGGGCCATCAGGAGAGTGCTCTGTGCAGACACCAGGCTCATGGTCAGGTTCCCCCTGTCTAGTCTTGCCTGCCTGGCCTGACCTGGTGTTGGAGGAGCTCAGTGGCCCAGAGGAATCCAGGAGCTGTCTCTGCGGATCCATTTGCTATAAATGCAGAGCTGCGAATAAGCCTCAGTGCTCCAGAATGAGGGTCTTGGGTGAATTTGGAGGGTGGGGCTCTGAGTAATGGGCTCCTCTATTTATTTATTTATTTTTTTTGGAGAGGTTTTTGCTATAGGGCGCGTGCACTCGCCAGAAAGACAGAGAGAGACAGAGAGACAGAAAGCGAAAAATCACCCCCCAAGGGGGATGACCACGCCGCAATCCCTTCTCCTCTATTCTCCTCTTGGGATCCTGGGCACACATGCACATGTGTCCGGCATGAGTTTAAGCCACCGGGTCCGGGACTCGAACCACGGGAGTTCAGCAACATAGCCATTACGTTAACTGTTGGTCCTGATGGGCTTCTCTATTATGCAGATCCCATCTATATTATTTTCTGTTTGTATTGGCAACAAATCACCCTAAAAAGTAGTGGCTTAATGTAACAATACTTCATTAATTTTCACAACTTTGTGGTTGGCCAGACCCTTCTGACTTTGCCTGGACAAACCCACAAGGTCGCAGGCAGTGGGTGGGGAGTCTCACACATCCGAGGCAGGAAGGTGGGGCTGTCTGGGACAGCGCGATCCGTTTCTCCCAGTGGCCATAGACTCTCGTGGAGGCCAGCCTGGCCTTCCTTCAGCTGCCTCAAAGCAGCAAAAGGCCGGGGTGGAAGTGGCGTGGCCTCTAGAGGCAAAGGCTAGAAAGTCACATTATATCACTTCCGCCTCACTCTGCTGGTCACAGCCCATCGTGGGACCAGTGATATTCATGGGACGACAATCCTGGACACCCCCGTGATGAGAAGAGTGGCACAGCTAACCTGTAGTGCGGGCGCTGGACGCCCTGTGACCGCCTTCAGGTTTGGACCCTGGCTCTGCCCGAAAGCACGCTGGATGTGTACGCATGCTCCCAGCGAGCTCCGGGGCAGGGGCAGGGGGTTGTGGGGTGATAGGCCCTGTCAGGGTGCTTCTGTCTCTCTTTTTCTCTCTCGTGATTGTATGTGCTTGCTCATGAATAAAATAAAGCTTAAAAAGAGGAGTAGCGCCATCCTGGGGTGAGTCACAGCCATCTTGGCAAACAGTCAACCCCGCTTCCTTTTGTGAAATATTTTTGCCATAGGGCATGTGTGCTCACCAGAGAGAGACAGAAAGAGGAAGTGAGAAATCACCCCCCGCCAGGGGGAATGGCCACACGCAGACCCTTCTCCTCCGTTCTCCTCCCTGGACTTTGTGCACGCACGCGCATGTACCAGGTGTGTTTCTCAAGCTGCTGGGTCTGACACTCGAACCACAGGGCTGGCCGTAGGGGACCCAGCACCTTAACCTCCACGCCACCTGCTGGCCCCACACCACTCTCCCTGTCAAGCCCTTGCTCACGGCTCTCCCCAAGATGTGCTCTCACCTGTAGGCAGAGCCATGAGCAGGCCGGTGCCGGTGCTGGGCCACAGTCTTGACCCCTGCCCGGCAGCCTCCCTGTCCCCCGCTGTGTGTCTGACTGCCGTGCCAGGCACTGATGATATTGCAAGGTTTACTAAATGATAGCTATTTCAGAAAATCCAGGGTTGCCATGAATATCCCCCAATGCATTTAGTCACCTTGCCTCTAGGCTCCCCAGCCTTGTGACAACTTCTCAGGCTCACCTTGTTTTCCTGACCTTCACATTTTGAAAAGTAGCTCAGGATTCTGTGGGATGTCCTTCACCTGAGTTTGCCCTGTATTTCCCCCGTCGTGAGCCTGGGGTTATGGAATCGGGGAAGAACACGCCGAGGGAGGGCCCTCTGGTCCCCTCACGTCAGGGTACGGGATACCGACCTGGCCTGTCCCAGTGGGCCTGCCAGGTCTCTGCTCCGGAAGCGGGCCTCCGTACTCCATTGTTAGAAACTCTGTGGTTTTAATTTGCATTTCAATGATGAGTGATGCCGCAGAGCTTTTTATGCGCCTATTTCCACGTTCACTGGAAATCGTACACTCGCAGTGCCACTCGGTATATCACTTCTGGTACGATTTTCTTCTCTTTTTCTAAAGAACTACTTATTTAATTTTATTACTATTATGTTTTAACTTTTTATAGGGCACATACAGTTACCAGGGAGACACACACACACACACAGAGAGAGAGAGAGAGAATGAAACCAGCTCTCAGGTCTAGGACTCAAATCACAGGGGGCCATTTAGGAATCCAACGCCTTAACCATTGCGCCACCTGCTGGTCCCATTTCAACACAATTTCCAACAGGTACACGAGACAGGCTTTGCATGAGGTGATTCTGCCCTACCGTAGGCTATAGTACGTGTTCTGAGTATGTTTCAAGTAGCTATGCTAAACTGTGATGTTGGTAGGCTAGACAAAGCAAACGCATTTTTAAAAATTGCCAAAGTGGGGACCAGTAGATGGCGTAATGATTACATCATTGGACTCCCATGTAGTTGACTGCAGTTCTAGTCCTAGATGTGGCAGCTTAAAACTCATGTCAGGCGCGTGTGTGTGCGTGCCCAAAATCCTGAGAGGGGAATGGAGGAGAAAGGAGTGAGGCGTGGCCAACCTCCCTGGGTGTGATTTCTCGCTCTCTGTCTCTATCTCTCTTTGTCTCTCCAGTGAGTGCATGCTCCCTATACCAAAAATCTCTCTCTCAAAATAAAAAATTGTCAAAGTGGGGGTCAGCAGGTGGCATGATGGTTGAGGTGCTGGACTCCCACATGACCAACTGCAGTTCAAGTCCTGGACCTGGTGACTAAAACTCAAGCTGGGAGCATGTGCGTGTGTGCCAAAAATCCCAAGAGGAGAAGGGGTTACCATGTGACCGCCCCCTTGGGGATAATTTCTCAATTTTCCTCTCTCTCTGTCTCCAGCAAGCACATGTGCCCTAATAGCAAAAATCTCTCTAAAGAAAAAAAAACTGCTGAAGGGCATGTGCTTTTGCTAGAGAGAGAATGAGGGAGAGAGAGAAAATACCCCCAAATAGCTCATGTGGGATCTGGCTCCCAAGGTGCAGCTCCTTACTGTGCGAAGGAACCAGCCCTAAATGCATTCTGATTAATGATATATATTTTTAAAATTTAAAATAATAATTATTTTATTTATTTATTCATTTATTTCATTTTTTTTTTATTTTGACCAGAGAGGGACAGAGCAAGAGAGGAAGAGAGAGAGAGGGAAAGAAAGAGCAAGCCTCCAGGTCCAGGACTTGAACCATGGTCGGCTATGTGGGAGTCCAGCGTCCTTAACCATCACGCCACCTGCTGGCCCCCGACTAATGATATTTTTAATTCACGATGGTTTATTGGGATATAACCCCATCATACATTGAGGAACATCTGTATCCTGGGTCCAGTTTTTTAATTGGATTAAAAATTGATGTGATTTTTTTTAACATTTTGGATACTTTTCAAAGTAACCAAACATCAATGCATTTTTCTCTAAATACTTAAGTAAATATTAAGTATTTAGAGTTTAATTTCTTTCACTAGAGTTTAATTTCTTTCTTTTTTTTTTCATAATTTGCTATAGGTTGCATGTATTTGCCAGAGAGACACACAGAGAGAAGGAGAGAGAAAGGATTCCCCAGGGAGGGTGGTCATGGTGCAAGGCCTTCCCCTCCATTCTTTTTTTTTTTTTTTTGGAGAGATTTTCACTGTAGGGCGCGTGCGCTCGCCAGACAGACAGAGACAGAGAGACAGAAAGCGAGAAATCACCCCCCAGGGGGGATGGTCACGCCGCAATCCCTTCTCCTCCATTCTCCTCTCGGAATCTTAGGCACGCATGCACACGCGCCCGGCGTGAGTTTTAAACCACCGGGTCCGGGACACGAACCGCGGTCGACTACGTGGGAATCTAGTGACATAGCCATTACGCTAACTGCTGGTTCCCCCCCTCCATTCTTCTCTTGGGATTTGGGGCACACGCGCACACGTGCCTAGTATGTCTTCCAAACTGCCGGGTCCGGCACTCCCTGTGCAGTCCACCATGGGGATCCAGCTGCCCAACCCCTACACACCTGCTCCGTTTCTTCACCTACAATGAGATGCACAAATCTCAATTTCATATCACTGAGGTTTGACCACTGTCACGGCATGGAAGATTTTTCTGTTGATTCTTATGACCCATTGACGGGTTGCAGTTTGCTGTCTGAAAAACTGTGTCCCAAATAACTGGCCTAACCCAAGGTGAGAGTAGAAGCTCTGGGTCACAGACAGGACTTGCAAGCCCCCCTCATCTAAATGTTGCTTCTGGGCTCAAGGGACCTTCTTCCTAAACTGCCCGCTCGCCCCAGCCCAGGCCACTCTGCTCTGGTGCCAGCAGCCTAGATCTGCTCTCAGCCCTCCCTGGAAGGTCCAGTCCCCTCCTAGTGACATTCACTGGGCACTTAGTCACCTGCTCCTTTATTTCTAGCTGACGTAAGGGAGGCAAATACCTAGAACCTTCTTTTTATTAAACAATTTTTTTACTTGATTTTATTATTATTATTATTATTTTCATTTGCTTTAGGACACATGCTCTCACGAGAGAGAGAGAAAGAGAGAGAGAGAAAGCAAGCTGCCGAGTCCGGACTCGAACTGCTGTCAGCCGTGTGGGAGTTCACCGCCTTAACTACCACACCACCTGCTGACCCCAGAACCTAATTTTTTTAATTCTCAGAGGGCACAGGTTCTTGCCAAAGACAGAGTGCAGGAGAGAGCAAAAGCACCCCCACAGGGTGGTGATGCTACAATTTCTTCTCGTTTCTCCATCTTGGGCTTTGGGGCATGCATACACATGTGCCCGGTGTGTTTTTCAAGCTGCTGGGCCAGGATTTGAACCACAGGTCAGCCATGTGGGAGTTGGTTCTTAACCTCCAGGCTGTGGACTGGCCCTAGAACCTTCTTATACTGTGCTGTGGGATGTTCTGGAGACAGCGCTCCTTACGTTAGGGGTCGTTCTTGTCTGTAAAATACCGTCTCCGGAGGCGATGCTGTCCAGTCCTCTCGAGTTCCGACTGAGGCTGTCAGGGGTCGGCTCCTCATTTGACCTGTGTGACAATGGGGGCTGAGAGGTAGCAATGCCTGGCCTGGGACCACCGGGGCTGGGATTTGAACCCTGGCATCCTTATTCTCACCAGCTGGGCTGAGGCTGAGGGGTACCCAAGGGGGTTATCCCCAGGGCCCATTCATCACATCACCGTGGGGACAGGCAGTGTGTGAGGAGGGCCTCCCTTCGCAGACTGCAGGCCCCCTCGCCCCACCCCCACTCCACCCCCGGCTTTCGCAGGACGGCCTGACCCTGCTGCACTGCGCAGCCCAGAAGGGCCACGTGCCCGTGCTGGCATTCACCATGGAGGACCTGGAGGACGTGGCCCTGGACCGTGCAGACAAGGTACGAGGCTGCCCACACTCCCCGGGGCTGGCTCTGGGGTCGCTCCGCCCAGAGTGTGGACTGTCCTCCGTGCGCCATTGAGCTGTGGCAGGCGGGACCCACCTGGGTCAGCTGCTGGTCTGGAAGAGGCGGAGGCACAGAGCAGGGTGTGGGCAGAGAGAGCCAGGCCCTCAGAGCCCAGGCAAGCAGCAGACAGGTGGAGAAGCAGTCGCTGCCTTCTGCTCCCTGGAGGAGGTGGCATTTGAGAACAAAGTAGATTTGTGGGTAACTCCAGGGAGCAGGGTGGGGTGGGGAACACCGGTCAGGAGCGAGCAGTTTGTTGGAGCTGTAGAGGTGGGCGGCCCTTTGGGTGAGAGTTCCGATGAATGGAATCTTTGGAGGGGAAGTAGGGATGGGGGCCCCTCGCAGAGATCCCCATTATGCAATAGGACAGCAGGGAGTCACCCAAGGACTTCAGCAGGGGCGGGACCCCATCAGGTGACTGGACGGGAACTGGATGGCTATGTGAGCCCAGCGTGGGGCAAACAGGCCTGGAGCGCAGGGCGGGTGCCCACCAGCAGGGCGAGCAGGGCTTATCTCCTTCTCCCGGCCAGCGGCCAGCTGGGAAGGACGGCGTTTCACAGGGCAGCCGAGCACGGGCAGCTGGACGCGCTGGACTTCCTCGTGGGCTCCGGCTGTGACCACAGTGTCAAAGACAAGGTACTGAGGCTCTGAGCTCCTGGCCAGGGTGCACCCCTCCTGTCCCTCCCCTTGACTCTGGTTGTGCAAGACCGGAGCACGTCTAATGTCCATCCCAGTGGGCATCTTACAGCCCACGCCTCCAGGCTGGGGATACAGAAGTGCCCGAGACGCGGTTTCTTTCCCAGAGAAGCCCATGCCACCCCCAGTAAAGAGTGCGATCCGGCATGGCCAGGAGGGCCAGTCTGATTGGCTGCCCAAGCGGCCTGGGGGGGGGGCGTGAGCAGGATCCCACTGACCTGAGAAGGGGAGAGGGATGGGGGCAGATGGCCTAGCCTGCAAACGCCAGCCAATGGCCTCCCGCCAGTCACTCAGCAAAATGTGGTGGCAAATTCTTCCAATGGAGGGACGGATTTCATTATTCGTCTTTTGACTGGCCCGGTAGAGGGAGTTCTGATTGTAAGGTCCTGGCAGAGCTCACAGACATGCACCACAGGGTCTCAGAATGGCCAGGTGCAT